CTCCCGGCTGGCTCCTCCCTTTTCCCACCCCTCCCCGCGGGCTGGGAGACCGGCCACCACGCGCACGCGCGTTCCGTGGCGCACGCGCATTCTAGGTCTCTTCCCGCCCCGGCTGGAGCCTTTGTTTTATCGGCGGGTTTTTCTCCCCCAGAGGGAGGCTTGGTTGTTGCCTGGGGTGGAGCAGAGGCTGGGTGCCCCGCTCCTAGATCTGCCGCTCCCTTCCTTCTCGCCCTTGGTGACGAAAAGGGACCACGTGCTAAGCTGACCAGCTCAGGGCAGGCCTTCAGGGCAGGCCTGCATGGCGGCTTTGCAAACGCAGAGACCTGAAGTGACCACAAAGGATGGTCTGAAATTAAAACTTTTTAAACTAAAAAGCAGTTTATGGTGAGTAGTCATGTCCTAGGCCGGTATCTTTCCTGACAAAGGTTAGTCGTTACCTTAACTGAGCCCATTTTCTTTCTGCATCTAAGATATATGGTTGGAATGTCAAAGTAATGCTCCTTTTTCTGGACCCCTCAAAGCACAGGCAGCGCTCTTCAGAGACCACACATCCTCATTGTTATTGAGTGAATTGCTGACTGTTAACTATCCTCCACCCTCTCCAGTGAAAGAAGTGTGTGCCTATCACTTTACTTTTTATCCAATCCCAGAGGTTTCCTCGCTTTGCTTTCTCCCACCTCCCGAAGCTATCACCAGTGGGTTTTACTAGTATGTAACCCACTGCGTCTCCTCTTTTGATTGCAGTGTATACCGTAAAACAGGGTGCAAAACTGCCCTTCTCCAGAGCATTATTTCAATCTGTTGAGATTCTGCTTCCCAGCAATTGTCCATAGTTTGGCTCATATAAACTCACAAAAATTCTTCACAGGTTTGAATGCGTTAACATCCTCCTCGGGTGATATCCAATCTCGGAAAGGTCTTGGGCTTGTTTCCTCAGTCCCTCCACCCTGGACCTCAAGGCCATCCCCAGGTTCAGCCTGCTTGTGACTCGCTCGCAGGCACCCTGACCCTTACCTGAGTCTCCCCAAATGGTCCCCCTGTTGGAGATAAGTTTCCCTGGGCTTGCTTCCTTTCCACCTGTTTTCTTTCCACCTTTCTTGTTATTGACCAAGGCTACTGCTTTTCTTAGCAAATACTCTGAAACCAGGCTAATTCAGTAGTAATCCAGTAGTGAAGGGGTTTTTTTTGTGTGTGTGTTTTTAACAAGGAACTTTTGAATCTATTATTTATCTAAGTGACCAGAAAATAAAATCTTAAATTAGATGAAGGTTCAAATGGTGTGAGCAGCCAAACCGGTTTGGCTCAGTGGATAGAGCGTCAGCCTGCGGACTGAAAGGTCCCAGGTTCGATTCCTGTCAAGGGCATGTACCTTGGTTGCAGGCACATCCCCAGTAGGAGGTGTGCAGGAGGCAGCTGATCGATGTTTCTCTCTCATGTTTCTCTCTCATC